GTATTTCATTTTTGTAATTATTTGACGTTTCTTTATATAATACATAGCACCACACATGATTAGACTGTATTTTTTTTAAAATAAATGAATATGTAAAGAATCATTTCTCTTTTGTTCGGGGGGTGGGAGGACATACCAGCAGAGTCAAGTTAGGCATTTCCCGAATTTCTGACACGCTGAGCCCAGAAGGTTCGCCATCACTCACTTAGAGTGATATGTGAACCGATGCACTAGAAGGCTGTATCACAGCTTCATGGGTACAACTCCATTCCCCTATAGCTCCGCTTTTAACATTTGGCGAGTACCTCCCATCAAAACCACACAGCACAAAGTAGATAGAGCAGGATGGGTCTCAGTCTGTCGCTTACTGCCTGGGGATGTGGTGGTCGTGTTGCATAATGGCAGTCTAACTTGCGGGGATCTTCTGTGGCATCATCCTCACTCTCCTCACTTGTCACCCGCCCAGTGCTCTTGGGTGCCGGGAAACGGTAGAGACGGTGGTCAATTTCGCAAGAAGAAATAGGCACGTCATCAGGGTCACTCTCTGAGGAAACCCTAGATCTGAAAGTAACCAGAGGAGGATAAGAGTTGAGCTTTCTGAGAATCAAATTTCCAGAATCTATGGCAGATACCATCACATGCTCCCTCCTCCCAACTGTGCCTTACCTGGAAAGTGCACAGTGGGAATATGGTTGCTTTGTGTGACAAGAAGAAGGAGAAACATTGGGCAGGACCAAAGAAGTCTGTGACATGGAAGAGAAGTCCTGCGATAGTCGTTCAGTAGCTATTTCTTTCCTCACTGGACTCTTATCTTTGGGAGACTCGCCTTTCTTGGTGCTGGCCTTCAGTTCAGCCACTAACACATCAAAGTCCTTGGTGCGGCCCTGTACCTCTCGACGCTGATGTACAGAATGGATCTGGAGCACAGGCAGGATAGATAGGTTAGATTCATCAGCTGGCTGGTGGAAGAGCAAGCTCAGAGAGAGGATGTGCTGACAGGCCACTTTCAAATAAAGAACATCCCACATAAAACCCATGAGTGGTACAATCTTGTGAGAAGAGTATGTGACATTTCTCTAGTGAACATTGTTAGAAGTCTCTGAGAGGCTGGAACTCAAGCAGAGGTTAAGGTTAGAAAATCATCATTTATATGGGAGTAGACAATCTTTTCTTGGGATGAGGACCACAAGATAGGCTCCCAGGAGGCCATACTCCAGGAACTGAGCCAGTCTGCTCTAGTGGTTAAGGCACCAGGCTAGAGAGCAGCAGACTGTGAGTTCTAGTCCCGCCTTAGGCATGAAAGCCGGCTGGGTGACTTTGGCCCAGTCACTTTCTCTCAGCCCAGCTCACCTCACAGGATGGTTGTTGTGGGGAAAATAGGAGGAAGAAGGACTATTAGGTATGTTCGCCCCCTTGAGTTATTTACATAAATAATAAAGGCAGGATTTAAAAAAAATCTAAAATCTAAATTGGTTGATACTGGGATCAAAACTAAGACAAAGCTAAATTTAATATGATTCAATTTAATTAAACATTAACTACACCCTGTGTTTAATAATTTTCCATTTCTGTCACATTAAACATGACAGTTCAATAGCATCTTTTGGAAGAGTTCTTAACCTGAACCCAAGACTTGGTGGGAATGCATGCAGCTTCTGACAGGTACTAAATTAAACAAGATTTGTTAAAGGTTTGGCTGGAAAAAAAAAATCTGCCCTAATGTTAAAAAGCAGAGAAAAATTGATTGCATACAGTTGCATACGCTGTGACATTATTCACAACGGGAAATTATCCAAAGCCATGTTAAAGAGATATATTCATTGCACTTGCTACAT